CTATCTTTTACTTATGGTCCCCAAGTACTTTTACTCTTTCGAATGTCTTTATAATAAAGTACTTGCAATCACTCTAATAGTGTATTTTCACCATTGAACTCAAGACTTTATTTTTAACTAAGTGTGAGTTGAGTTTCCACTATTGGTGGTCAATTAGATATGGGCTTTAGACCCATCCCCAATGATGTCTTCAACACCATGTCTTTTTTCAGACCTTTCGTCAAAGGATCTGCAAGATTATTTTCTGTTCTTACGAACACAATGGAAATTACTCCATCTGAAATTAAATCCTTCACATAGATATGTCTTATACCAATATGTCTAGATTTTCCATTATATACTTGACTATATGCTTTTGATAGTGTGAAATGACTATCACAATGTATGGATACAGGTGCCATTGGCTTTGGCCAAATTGGCATCTCATACAATAAATTTCTTAGCCATTCAGCCTCTTTACTCCCGACAGCTAGAGCAATAAATTCCGCAACCATGGTGGAGTCGGCAATGCAAGTCTATTTCTTAGAACCTCAAGAAACTGCACTTCCACCAAGATTGAAGATCCATCCACTAGTAGAGGCATGATCTTCTACATATGTTAACCAACTGGCATCTGTATATCCCTCTAATGCTGAAGGATATCCATTATAAGTTAAACTATAGTTAATTGTCCCTTTCAAGTATTTTAATACTCTATTAACAGCACGCCAATGGTCTTTACTTGGATTACTTGTATACTGACTTAACCTACCAACGACATATGTAATATCAGGTCTTATACAAGTCATACCATACATCAAACATCTGATTATCTTTAAATATTCAAGTTTTTCCACTAGACACCCTTTATGTGACTGCAAATTAACATTTTGATCAAACGGGGGTAGAAACTGATTTAGAATTGAAGTGATCAAATTTCTTAAGCACCTTTTCGATGTAGTGAGATTGGGATAAACCAATATTTTCACCATCTCTTATGATTTTAATTCCTAAAGTCACATCTGCTTCACCCAAGTCTTTCATATCAAAAATTTTGGATAAGAATGTTTTAGTCTTTTCTTCCTCATTTAAATTAGTGCCAAAGATTAACATATCATCCACATATAAACAAATCATGACACTTTTTTCATTGCTAAATTTACTATAAATACATTTGTCAGATTCATTTATTTTGTATCCATTGGTTAACACAACATGGTCAAATTTTTGGTGCCATTGTTTGGGTGCTTGTTTTAACCCATATAAAGAATTGGTTAATTTACACACATTATGTTCTTGACCTTTGATAACAAATCCTTCAGGTTGTTTCATATATACCTCTTCATCTAACTCTCCATTTAGAAAAACGGTTTTAACATCCATTTGATGGGTTACAAGCTTATAGATGGAAACAATTGCCAAAAACACTCTAATTAATGCAATTCTAGCAACAGGTGCATACATATCAAAGTAATCAATAACTTCCTTTTGTGTATACCCTTTAACGACAAGTCTAGCTTTGAATTTTTCAATGGTACCATCGACTTTAATTTTTCTTTTAAAGATCCATTTACAACCTATTGATTTTGATCCTGGTGGGAGATCCACTAGTTTCCAAGTTTTATTACCCATACTTGAGTCCATTTCTTCTTGAATAGCTTATTTCCAAAAGGCAGAATCATGAGATTTTATTGTCTCTTCAAATGTTTCTGGATCATTCTCTAGGTTATAGCAAATTGGTCCATAACAATTTATTGAATCATTATTTTCTTCTACAAGGAACATGAAGAAGTATGATCCATCGTTTTTCACTTTTCAGATTCTTTTACTTCTTCTGAATTCTGAACATGCCAACATATCATTATTAGATACATTACTTTCTAGACTTTGAACATCATAATAAGCATTGTCTTTGGGATTTTGAATTGAGGTAAATATACTTTCTTGAAAAATTGCATTTCTTGACTCAATCACGGTATTAATAGGATATGAGTCATTGAATTCAATAACCATGAATCTATATGCTTTTCTATTTTCAGCATATCCCAAAAATACACATCCAATTCCTCTTTCTCCCAATTTCTTTCTTTTTAGTTCAGACACCTTTACAATTGCTCTATAACCCCAAGCTTTTAAATAATTAAAATTGGATTTTCTTTTCTTCCAGAGTTTATATGGGGTTATCTTGTCCCTTTTATTAGGAACTCTATTCAATATATAACATGCAGTTAGCATGACTTCACCCCAATATCCTTTAGATAAACTAAAATATGATAACATGGCATTTACCATTTCTTCCAACACCCTATTTTTTCTTTCTGTTATCCCATTTTATTCTGTAGAATATGGTGCAATTGTTTGATGCGCAATACCAGTGGGCTCAAAATAATTAGAATGATAGAACTCCCCTCCTCTATCACTTCTAAAATATTTAATGAAAGTCTTATGTTGAAGTTCTACTTGTGCATTAAATATTTTAAATTTGTCTAAGACTTCATCCTTAGAATGCATTAAATAAACATAACAAAATCTAGTGCAATCATCAATGAAAGTGACACCGTACTTTTTACCACCAATGGTGGGCCAACCATGTAAATCACACACATCTGAATGAACTAAATCTAACACCTTAGAACTTCTTTCAATTCTTTTAAAATGTTTTCTTGTGATTTTAATTAACATGCAAGTTGTACATAAATTTGAATTTTTGTCAAGAGTCGGAATTAAATTTAATTTTATCATATCATTTAATTTTCTAAAGTTAACATTTCCTAGTCGCGTATGCCATAAATCACAAGACTCAACAATATAAGCAGAAATCACATTATTATTATTATTATTATTATTAACAACATTACACATGAACATATTCTCACAAAGATAACCCTTTGCTACAAACATACCCCCTTTGGATAGAATAAATTTATCTCCCTCAAAAACAGATTTAAAACCATACTTATTAAGTAAAGGTACAGAAATCAAGTTATTCCTAACTTCCGGAACATAAAGAACATCTTGAAAGTTTGAATTTTCTTCTTCCATTACATGCACCTTCTCAAGAGCAATTTGATTTTTAGTATCATCTTATTTACGATACTCTTCTTCTAAACAAAGGTGATTACCCAATTGCTCAAGAGATATGTCCTCTTTCTTATGTTTCAAAGATTTCTTAAAATCTTTCCATGATGGAGGAAGTTTATCTATTATGGAAGATACAATTATTGTTTCATCCATATGCATATCATGTTGTTTGTAGTTATTGAGAATACGTTCGATTTCATACATTTGTTCTATTACAGGCTTATTGTCTACCATTTTATAATTATTGAAATGAGAAACAAGAAAGTTCTTACTTGTAGCGTCTTCTTGCATGTATCTTGATTCAAGTTTTTTCCACAGTTCCTTTGCAGAGTTGCTACTTTGATAGATATCAAATAAAGAGTCTGACATACCGTTGAGATATGACCCATGCAAATGTAATCATCATTGTCCCATTTTTGTCTTTCTCTTGTTTCAGCAATGGTTTCTTCTTCCATCTCCAATGGTCTTGTAGTGTTCAGAACATACACCATTTTCAATGTTGTAAGTAGAAACTTCATCTTTTTCTGCCAACGGATAAAATTGCCTCCATCAAACTTTTTCAATTTCACAAAGTTGGATGTCATTTCTTTGAGTGATGCTGCCATTGATAATTAAAAAATAATTGAACCTAAAGATTGTTGGATATTCTGGTCGTTGGAAATATGTAGCAGCACTTGAACAAAGAAGGTGTTGATGAAGATTACACTTGAAAATTCAAAGCGTGTGAATTTCACACTAACCTTTAGGTTCAATTCGCCCCTACCAATTGTTATATTTTAGATGCAATAAGATTTAACGACGAATTCCCTTCAGAATACTTTGAATACCTTAATGTGAATTGCACAAACACACTAAACTTATCTTTTGATAATAGTTTACATAAAATTGTTTCTTATACTTCACTCATGCACTAATGAAGTAAAACATGATTTTAGAATAATTGAAATGGTGAAAAATGTATGTAAATATGTCTATTTTCGTGTGCTTTTTCTATTTTTCAAGTGTCTCTATTTATAGAGAAATTGACATCACTTAATGAAAAGAAGCCCCTTTTAATTTAAATTCTGAACCTGAAATAATGAAGCAATATATCCTTTTGACATTCACTTTATTTCACAAATGTTACATTAGTCTGATGGCAAGGCATTGGTTCATTTGTTAACAGGCGCACCAACACGATGCGGGTTTGATTCCGGTTGTTTAGCTCCCCATCTAGACTTATTCTTGAGAATAGAGGAGCTCCCCATCCAGACTTATTCTTGAGAAGCTCTTCAATTTTCTTAATCTCAGCTCTCACAGATCCCCTTCTAAATTCTTTAAATTCTGCTCCCAAGTCTGACATGGACTTTAGTTTATTGTACCCTCTAGAGATAGAAGAATCCCACTTTTGTCTCACCAACCCTTCACATATTTCATCTCTAGTCCAAACATCTTCAAATCTGAACAAAGAGTGATTCACTCTCCTCTTCTCCTTAGTGTACTTTTCCACCATGAAACTTTGATCATATCAACACTTCAATTTTATACCTTGCATTTCTTTATCTCTTAACCTAGTCTCCATCAGAAAGATAAGTGAGGGGTTTTTAGAACAAATGAGCCTTTGCGAGGCTCGAACTGCACGAGGCAAATGATAACTTGATGATACATAATCTTTAGTCATCATCAAGAAACAATACATAATTTAACGTTCAACGTTCTTGTAAATGTGATAATGTTGATAGTTTCACTAATTAATTCACAGTATAATTGAAATTTTTTTTGACAACTTTGTTCACATCTATGAAATTTTAAACATGATTAAATTTGGCAACTCCTATTTCACTAGTACAAAGTCTATCACAATCTAACAATCTAGTAATCAAACCTTGTGTATATGTGCATAGGTTGTTTCTCATGATGTTCTACAATTTCACAATTTCAGAGACTAAACTAGTGATTCATTACAAGGATGGAAACATGCATCCAATGGTCCAACCAAGAAGCAAACCTGCACCAGCAAGAGCCAAACCAACAGCGAAAGCGAAAACACATTTTCTTCTATCCCTAACCTTTCGTCGATTCTTCCTGGGTGCTTTCCCGGCCCTATCAGAAAACAGGTTGTCCATCAATGGCTGGTTTTTGTCCTTAAACTGAAGACATAGATTCTCCAGCTGCAAAACATGCAGCCATTGCTTGTAAGCAAATAGTTGCAAAGCCTGTTTGAAAAATAGCGACGATATTTGCTCCTTCTCGTTGCAGGCTTCCTGTGCTGCTTTTTCAGCCTCTCTCGCCCGGGTTTGGGATCGACATAAGGCTTTCAGTAGCTCTGCCTTGGCCGCGCTCTCGCTACTCATGTGGCTATCTTTGTTGTTGCTTGAATCAGAGTCTTTGCTCTCGCTCGAACTGAAAATGTGTATAACGGTTTCATATAAAGTCTTATGGCATAGTAATCATACTAATTTATAGCATTACCTGAAAGTTCTGTTGGAATCCTGAAATGAATAGCCAGAAGTCAAGGTTATAGACGTGCACCCATTCGCTTCCGAAGAACACGCCTCAGATTTTCGGCTCAAAGAGGATACAAGATTCTTGTCATTGTCAATGACTCTTGGCTGATGGGCCGGCTCTGGGAGATTGCAGTTCTCAATATACTCACGAGATTTCTTCGCAACCAAGTAACCTAAGTCGTCTTTTCCAGTAGTGTCCCACCAAGGCCGAGTTTTTTCACCTCGCAACCAATGCGGTTCCAAATCAGACGATGTACTTTTACATTGTTTCGAGACCAAGACACTAGTAACATCATCATCATCCGAAAACCAGAATTCCCCTTCGATTTTCTTCTTAGGTGCTAAATACAAGTCATTGTTCAAAGCAGCCTCAATTTTCGCAGTTCTCGTATCTTTGGTTTTCTGTATACATTTTGGATACACATTCCATTGCTGCTCTAAAGCTATAGTATTAGTAACACTTCCAACACATGAAAGAGAATCAAGGTTTTTGACCGATTGATCGCTACCAATATCGACATTAAAAGCATTGAACTTAGACTCCCAGGAATAATTCGCATCACTGCCCAAGTTGGTTTTGACATGTAGCCACCATTTCATGTCAGAATCAGTGGAATCATGACTATGAATAAAATCAGATTCCAATTTTTTCGAAACCGGAGATTGATAATCAGAAGGAGACATCCTGAAATCTTGTGTGAAACAGTGATTAACTGCATAACCAGCTCTAGCTTCTGCAGATGCCATCACTTTGTTGGTTTGATTATGAGCTGTTTTATGGAGAATCCATCTGTTGAATCAGTCATAAACATTAGATGCAATCTATCCACAAACCTCAAACCTCAAATCTTAACAAGAAATCAAAATAAACAGCCCAAAATCAGATGATTCAGTTATGACAAGAACATGTTAACGACATAAAAGGTTCAAATATTATGTAAATAAAAACATGCTACAATAAGATATGAATCAAATCAGATCATAAACATAAGCTAGCAAGGTTAGAAAGAGAATAGCTTACTTGATTTCCTTAACAGGTTGTTTTGGTTCTTTGAATGTTCAAGAAATTGGACTGTATTTTTGACTATATGTGAATCTCTAAGCCAAAAAATATCTATTTTATTTTTGTTTTTCCAATTAGTAGTATCTGATTTTTATTCTGTTTTGTGTTTTTATGTGACTTTGATGTCACAATTATGAACAAGGTTGAGTTTATCGTTTTGGCAAATGGTTTTGTTTGAAAGTTTCAATACAATGAATGTTACAGGAAAAGGTGGAAGCAAGCGGTGACACTACGTGGGACCATGTTTTTCTGACACGCTACACCTTGTTAATAAGTCTTTTTCATTCCATGACTTCTTTTTACATGTCTTTTTCTTCCATTATTTCATTTTTCAACTAATTTTATTATTTACCCAAACTTTATAAACACTTTATATAAATACTCATTTCCAATCTCTTATAACTTTTAAAAGTATAATAAATTAGAAAGACACTTTATATATATATATATATATATATATATATATATATATATATATATATATATATATATATATATATATATATATATATATATATATATATATATATATATATATATATATATATATATATATATATATATATATATATATATATATATATATATATATATATATATATATATATATATATATATTAGTTCGGTTTGATTAAACTGGCTATATAATTTTTGTGTGAATTCATCTTTTATCTTCCTCTTACTTAAGATTGAATTGCATGTCCTTAATATATACAAGGAAAAATCCAATCGTTTCTGTTTTGTTTATTATTGTTTATTGAATCTCTTTCATAATTGCACATCTCTGAATCATGTTTTAAATTGATTTGTTTTTTTGGCATGCATAATTCAATTGTTATATTTGAGCTTGATCATGATGCTTTTAATCAATTTATTGAGTTAGTGGAACAAGAATCATACGTGTTGTTGATTTAAGTTAGTGGAACAAAAATCTCAAAGTATTTTAAAAATCATGAAAATTTTTTATTTTACGTGCATGACTCGAATCATGTACATATCCTGACACAAATCAAATTGAACAGAGACAAACATAATTTTTTTGAATCTTGTGACTCGAATCACATTTTTAACTTGATTCGAATCAGACAGCCTTATGACTCGAATCACAAGTTGCACTTGATTCGAATCAAATAGATTCGAACATCTTCTACCTCATTTGATTCGAATCACACAATTTCTCACATTTCTCTGTTTGAATCTGTCCAAATTGACTCGAATCAGACTTTGTACTTGATTCAATTCATGAGCCTTCATGACTCGGATCAAAGTTATAAGGTGATTCAAATCACATGAGAAATGAATCAAATTATTTATGTTTTCTTATTCCACTTCACTTGCTCATTTGACTCAAATCATGAAATTTTCTTGACTAAAATCTAACTAAATTTTTTCATCCATTTTTGTGCTTAATCTCAAGCACATATAAATTAATTTTGTCATAATATTTAAATTTTTTTTTTCATAATCTACATTTTAATTTTGTGAAATCAAAACCCTCTCATTTTTTAAAACTAAAAAACTCTTGTAAACAAAATAGTTTCCATCTTCAACATCTAGTTTTGATTTTAGATATTGATAATGAGAGATTTGTAATTGATTAAGGGAGACGTTATCTTGAAACTTATCGTTCTTAAAGGTTTGGTAAAGTTTTTCAAGAAGCTAGCAAGATTGAAGTTGTCATTGGTGGTGACAAATTCTAGTGAATATAATGAGGTTTTTCACTCCAGTTGACCTTGGTAGTGACTCGCGTGTCGAAGGCTATGAACAAGTACTAGTGCAAAAATATGAAATTACACCCGTTTTTTATACATTTAACACCCGTTATTGGAAGGCGTGAATTCAACGGGTAAAAAATGTCTGACAAATTTACACCCGTTTTAAAATGGGTATAAATTTGATGTTATATTAAAGTCTTTTTTATAGAAATCGGGTGTAAATTTTTACATATATACATTTATAGATTGTATATTACACCATTTTTTATTTAAAACGAATGTATATACATTTCACTTTAGACCCTATTTTATAGAAAACGGGTGTAAATTTGAAGTTATATTACACTCTTTTTATAGAAATCAGGTGTAAATTTTTACATATATACATTTATAGATGGTATATTACACCATTTTTTTTGTTTAAAACGGATGTATATACATTCCACTTTACACCCTATTTTATAGAAAACAGGTGTAAATTTGATGTTACATTGCACTCTTTTTTATAGAAATCAGGTGTAAATTTTTACATATATACATCTATAGATGGTATATTACATCCTTTATTGTTTAAAACGGATGTATATATATTCTACTTTATACCCTATTTTATAGAAAACGTGTATAAACGTGTAAATAATTGCATTTCAATCAAACAAATTTACACTCAATTTCATAAAAATCAGATGTAAAATGAGTCGTGAATACCTTAGAAGTTTGCAAATTTACACCCTATTTTCTTTAAATAAGGTGTAAAAATGTGGTGTATTACACTCGTTTTTGCTATTGATGTCGGCATGTTTACACTCGACTTTACTATTGATATTGACATTTTACACCCAATTTTACCATTGATGTTGACATTTTTACACCCGACTTTACCTTTGATGTTGACATTTTTACACCCTGTTTTTTTAAATAGAAGGTTTGTTTTAGTTTCATAATTATATTATATTTAATTAAATTTTGAACCTATTTTATTTAATCAAATATTTTGTATACTGCTAAACATTTAATAAACAAAAAGTACAACCAAAACAACCATCCTAACATCATTGTGATATATATATATATATATATATATATATATATATATATATATATATATATATATATATATATATATATATATATATATATATATATATATATATATATATATATATAAGTCTTATTAAATCATATTATCTAATAGCATAAAACAACCATCCTAACATCATTGTATATATAAGTCTTATCAAATCATATTATCTAATAGCATAAAATCGTACAACAAAATCATATTAACAAAAACTATCTATACATAATTTGTCCTCATTCGCTTTGTGTAATACCCCAAAATTTACCCTTAGGTTAGCCGATTCTTGGCGCGTTCCATCTTATTTTGCATTGCATTATAACTAACCGCTAACCAGTTTGCCCAGTCCGTTGGTTTTGCAGGAAAATCACATTGTGTGCAATTTAACTGGCGAAGGGCAAAATGACAATTAATTTGCAGCCTGCGGACATTCCCGAAGCCAAGTCGTCGTTCGGGGTTCCTTAAGCGATTAAGGTTTTAATCTCCGAGTCCTGTGATTTATTTGAGGATGATTTGATTTTTACAGCAATTTTCGACGTCAGGATTCTCGAGACACAATAATTTATTCAAGAGCCGAGATTTAGTTGTCAGCGAATTTCAGAGATGTTGTTTAACCATATGGAGGTGAATGTGTTGAGATATCAGGTGGTTTGGTTTAAATCGGCGCGAGATTTCACTTTGTAGAATTTATTTTAATAGATGTCCATTTTCTTGTGTTCTGCTACCTGTCAGTCAGTTTTAAAGGAAACAGTGGGAATTTCGGCTCGTGTTTGGATTTATCATATCGGTTTGGTCCTGATTTTTAGCCAAGTTGGTTCAGGGCATCGAATTTAGTCATTTGAGATACGAGGTGAAATTTTCAATACGGAAAACAGTTTGTTTCACTGTTAGTCGAATTTCTCTGTTCATTCGTTCAAGACCGTATTTACCGTTTCTATTATCAGGCGCAAATTGATTTGAAAAGGGAGTTGTCTGGAACTCAGTTATGTCAAGTTTAAATCAAGCAGTATGATTGGTTGTCGAATCTGGAATTGGAATGACAAACTTTATTCGGATAATTTTCAAGGGATTTTTTTGGACGAATTAATTTGGCGAAGTTTAATCCGTTTGGTTGAGTTTAGTCAGTTGAGGTTAATCGGTTATGTTTAACCGATTAAGTTCATTCGGAGACACTTAGTCACTTGAGTTTAGTCGGATAATTTGGTTTAATTAAAATTATTCGGTTGGAGTAATCAGACAAGTTATTTTGGGCGGTATTAATCATAAGAACTTTAATTGGAGAAAAATAATGTGAATTTTATTCATATTTATTTTTATTACAAATTGTAAAGGAAAATAAAGTATATTTGATTCCTAATTCTAAGCCCTATGTTCTTAAGGTTAATCTTCATGTCCGGTTCTTCGGTTTCGATTCTTTTATACCTGCACAGAAACAGACAAAACATAGGAAAGACGTTAAAGTTAGAATAATAGAAAGGTGGTTTTTCGATAGTTCCGATACCCTCAAAAAATGTTCATCATCGGGTACGTCGGGAGGGCAACGACGAAGTCGAAGCCAACTCCCGACTCTATTTTCCAACCTCGGTAAATCCGGTAACATTTGTTCTTTTGAGAGAGAGAGAGAGAGAGAGAGAGAGAGAGAGAGAGAGAGAGAGAGAGAGAGAGAGAGAGAGAGAGAGAGAGAGAGAGAGAGAGAGAGAGAGAGAGAAAGGTTTTTTTTTGTAAAAGTGATTTTTTTTGAAAAAGCGCTTTTGGGAAAAAGCACTTTTTCATGAAAAATGAGTTTTAGCCAAACAAGGCGCTAACACAAATTTTCCAGAATTTCCAAGGTCCATGGATCAAACACAAAAACGCAGGCCAAGTAAGCAAGCGCCTACCAAACAAATCCAGC